TACCACTATAACAGGTGGAGGGGTGGGTCCACTTAAACCGTAAACCCTCAACCCTAAACCCTAAACCCCAACCTCCCCCCTGTCTTCTCAAAACCCCAAATCGCCCCGGCCTCCATCCTGGGGAGGTTGGCACTGGGCTCCGTGAGAGGAGGCCTTCACTTTCGGAGTTGGCAATTGGTTTAGGGTTTAGGGTTTAGGGTCCTAAACCCTAAACCCTAAACCCGGGCCTGGGTCTAGGGTTAAGGTTTAGGGATTACTTCGCCCACACTACCCTAGGAAGAAAAAAGGTTGGGTCGGTACCGGCCACTTCTCATTTGGGTTGGTGATCGCTGTTCATGGTGAAACAGCTGGTGAAAAGGATCCTTTTTACACACTTGCAGGAATCTCGCACCCCAAAAAGCGAAAAGGATCTCTAGCATTGATCCAGGTTAGGTACTATGGGGGCCTGAATGACCAATAATGTGGTGTCAACTGAAAAAGAAGGTGGCAAATGGCATCGTCGGCATCTTATTATTGAAATAGCAGCAGCTGTAGCAGCAGCTGCACATGTAGGGCTTGGAATTCAAGATTAGCTCCAGCAATGTTGTTTGCGGTCTGATTTTGAAGTTACTGCAAATCCCTAGATGCTCACGAACTGAATCACGACAAGCACTGGTATCAGGTTCCAGTTCACAACAAGATCTCACCGTGGGAAGACCCAGACCCTTCTCGGCTTGACGTGGAGCCTTGCTTTAGGACTTTCATTGCGAGCCTGATACGCACAAAGCGCTAACATGATTTCCAGAAAACCCTCCCCCAAGAATGTTAATGTCAGGACAATTATCAAGTAAGTGATCTTGCTAGACCGTCAGCCCTCAACCCTAAAGCCCTAAAGGCAAGCCCCGCTTACCTAAGGACCAGCTCCCATGCAAGAACATCCCCAGCACGCCTTGCATTAGAATACTCACCCCCTCAGGAGACCGTTCGTCTGACTGGGTAGAAGTGAACGGAAGAGTGGATGCTTTTTAGTTCTTATGCACTCGCAGGGTCGGCGGGACTCAGTAAGTAGGTTTATAATGGGGGTAAGTAATCCTAGTAGGATTACTATTTGGGTTATAGTGTTTATGAACCTTCTTACTTAGTCCCTCGCACGCTCCCAGCAGTGATCCCCAAATAGATATCCCGATTTGCCATTCTTTCCATCCCTCGTAACCACCGGTAAGTACTGTATGGGGACTCGACCAAACCTGACTGAAAATCCTAACCACTAAACACTGTAAACACGTGGCAACCTATCGCCTGGTCGCTGATGGAGAACCGGGGGCCTTCATTAGGTTTGGAGCGCAGGGTTGTCTTAGCTTTTGTGACTTAGACTTTGGGATGTGCAGGTTCTAAGGTGCAGGGGTCTAGGATTTAGGGGCTTCCGGTATTTCTGCGAAAACGACAGCTAAGCCTTGAAGTCCCGGTCCATGGCCATTGATCAGGGTTTAGGGTTTAGGGTTTTTGTTTTAGACTTTGGTTTACCACCCAGTTCGGGACCCAAAAAGGCACCTCTTCGTCTAGAAATCTCCAGATTCACTAGCCAGACATTAGTCAACCATCTTTGGGTAGCACGAGGAAGCCAATGATTTTGCCAATTAGTCAGGTTACCACACCATGCTTGAGTCCTGCTGCTGCTTCCTACGGATGACGTCCTTTGTCTACTTCCATCAATCACTGTATCATCAACGCTAACCTCACACTCTCAAGCCTTCACACTTCCAATAGAAATGCCTACGTGGCCCCCTATTCCATTCCTACAGTTCCTCCAAACCACCCTAAACCCCAAACCCCCAAACCCAAAACAGCAAACCCGGAACCTCAAACCCGGAACCTCAAAAACGGAACCTTAAACCCCAAACCCGATAGCCCTATAATATACTAGTCCAGGTTCATCATGTTCATCAACCCCTTGCAGCCACGGGCACCGTCGTCCCCGTGGGCGGCGGATGCAACATCCCGGGGCCGGTGACCGGCCGAGAGCCCTTTTAGGGTTTAGGGGCAGGGTTTAGGGTTTAGGGTTTAGGGTAACTTCTGGGTTTGGAGGGTTTAGGGCTTAGGTTTTAGGGGCTTAAGACGTATAGGGATTTGGGAATATGGCTTCTGTTGTTGGAAGGAAATTTGCAGGGTTTCGGGCCTAGGTTTTAGGGGTTAGGGTGTACGGGTTGAGGGTTATGGCCAAGGAAGGTTTTGAAGGTTTAGGGGTTGAGGGATAGGTTTGAAGTCCTCTACTAGCAACATTGCAACACTTTTGCAAGCGCAAAGGTGAGGTTGCAGGGGAGGTCTCCAGATCTGGCCTGCTCATGCCATGCGGTTAAGGGTTTAGGGTTTAGGGATTTTGGAGCTAGGGTCGGGTTTGGGCTTTGGATTTGGGAGGGTCCCAGGGTATGTAAGGAGTCCTCATGATGGCTAGGAATTTGGATTAAGGCCAGGAATTAAGGATTGGATATTCGAGCCTGGGGTTTATTGCGGGACAGTGAAGAACAACGACTAAAATAACATGTTTTTGCAAAAAGAGATTGCAAAAAGAGAATGCTGAGACCTGTAAGACCTGATGGGATTTCCGAAGATTTCATACAGTGTTCTTGTCGACATGTATAGAATAGGCTGAGGCCACGCGAGTCTTCGTCCTAATGATGGCTATACTGGGAACCTGATTGAATTCCCCACTCGGCACCAAGCCGTACAATGTCAAACCCTGCCATCGTCCGTCCTTCTCTCGTCATCCCAAAATGCCTACCCAAAACATACCTCAACCCCCTAATCCCAACTAAAGCCCTAAACCCTCAACCCTAAACCCTAAACTCTATAAGTAAAACCCTGAACCCCGAGTTTCCGAACCCTGCACATTAAACTCTAACTTTCTGAGCCTGAGCGATGGAATCCCTGGATTCCCTACACCCTAAAACTCTAAAACCCTAAACCCTAAACCCCCAAACCCTAAAATCCTAAAACACTATACCCTAAACCCTAAAACCCTACAACCATAAAGACCCTACAGACTCGAAATCCCCCAACCTTGCACTGGACCCCTTGCCTCCTCTGGGCGCGTGGCAGAGTGCGTGGTCCCTGGACGCGAGGCCTGGTGTGTAGGTGGTTGAACCTAGTAAGATTATATTCCTTATAGGGTATAATATTAGGGTTATATTGGGATAATGGAAAAGAAAATGGAAACTACTATTTGGGGTTCAGGGCTTAGGGTTTAGGGTCTAAACTCTAGTGTTTTATTGGTGGTTAAACCTGGTAAGATTATATCCCTTATATAGAATACTATACCCCAAAAGGAGGATATAATCTTACTCTATAATGGGCACCATATTCCCCAAATAAAATACTACTCTGGTGGAGCTTGGCTGCGTGGCGGTCGGTGAAGCTACGCTAGTTTGGGTTCAAGGCTTTGGCTTGGGATTCGGGTTTAGGGTCCATTGTGCAGGGTTTGGGGTTTGCGTCATAAGCGCTTAAACCGAAGTGCAACTCGCCACAGGGTCAAATTGCTGTAGCTTGCTGTGGCTCAGCTTGAATCCCTTGATAACCAAACAGTTCGAATTTCTGCCTTTCTCGGCCATTGCCGTCAGTTTTCCTGAACTGGCTACTAATTTGCTGGTGATTGGTACTACGCATACGGCGGGGTGGATGCGGTGTAGAATTTAGTGCCTGGAAATTGGGTTTTCGGGTTGAGGATCCTTCCGAGTTCTGGGACAGCAGGGAATTGGGTTTTCCAGGGTTTTTTCCTTGTGGTGTAGATTTCGAGTTGCACGCAACAACAGCCTGTCTAGTGTTCCCTTTGAGCGTCCTATGCCCGGTAAAAACATTCATTGAAACGTTCCCCATATACCCCTATAAACCCTATACCCCCTATAACCCCATATAAGCCCATGAGACCCTGAACCCTAAGTTCTAAACCCTAAACCCCAAACCTTACATCCTAAACCCGAAACCCTATAACCCAATAACCCTATAGCCCTAAACCCTAGACCCCAAACCCTAAATCCTAAACCTTAATCCCAAACCCTCAATCCCAAATCCTAAACCCTACAACTCTACAGCCCTATAATCCTAAATCCCAAACCCTAAATCCTGAACCCCAAGCCCTAAACCCAATAACCCTAAACCCCAAACCCTAAACCCTAAATCCCTAAACCGAAGGCCCCGAAACCGACAGCGAGGCCTGTGACTGCCGCGTGCCCGGACGGCTCTGCTTGCTCTGGCTCTGGGGACGACTGGCCTTAGACTTTCGGGTTTTGGGGTTTGGGGTTTAGGGTTTGGGGTTTAAAGTTTGGGGTTCAGGGTTTAGGGTTTAGGGTTTGGGGTTTAGGGTTTAGGCTGACTAGGGAACCTTGGATCACAAGCACCACAAGCCTGATTCCCAAGAGTTGTAAACTTTTTTGTTAACAACACTTCATTGCTAAGCAGCTTCTGGCAAGCAAGCCGCTGCTGCCACAGAAGCGCTAAACCGCAAGTTAAAAGCCCTAATCTTACTCGGTAGTTTCCCCAAATATGGGGACCCCAATATACACCCCAAATACTAGAGTCCCTAGGATTGGGACCTAATTTTGGGAAAGCCCAAAATGCTCAGCTCCAGGCAAAGATGTAGCGTAGCTTGCACTACCAACTAATTACTGGACCTCACAGTAGGAACCCACGTATGGGGACCTGCATTATACCAACTTACAAAGGGGACTGTTGCAATGAAGAAGCAAAGCAATGTGCGTCGCAACCACGCACAGAGCTTAACAACATGCCAACATCATGGTAACGAGAAAATGTGTAATGCCGGAGTTGCTCGAACTAATTAGATATACTGACTCAGAGACACGCTGGGCGTTTCTTGCAGCCGGTGCATCAAAGGTCGTGTGCCCTGGAAATATTCCGAGCTGACCTTACCCCAGCACCTGTACACGGGCAACAGACATCCTTCCTGCCCCATGAACTACCACGAAGGCAGCGACACGTCTGCGCCCAAAACCCACTACTACGACCCCTCAGGCCGCGTAGAGAGACTTGGCCTTGGCGTAAAGCGCCTTGCCCTGTGCCGTCTTGCCGCCGACAGCACAGAATCCCTTGATTCCCAGCTCCTTGCGGGCCTTGAGGACAGCTTCAGTCCAGGTAGAGATGTTCTGGTAGTTCTTCTTGCCGGCGGCGTGCGACTTCTTGGACACCACTTTCCTCAGTTGGGCAAGGAAAACCAAAAAGACCGCGATGGTGTAGGGTTTGGGTTAAGGCTTAAAGTTTAGGAACCTCCGCTCCCATCTCTGAGCTTGAAACCTTCATGGCAACTTTAACAAGTTGGGGGACCAACTTCTACTCTGCTATGTCCAAGATATGCGGATTCCAGGAACAACAGCCATCAAACAGATACATCTATTTTTGCTTGGTTGGGCCTGCTGTGTCCCGTCTCTAGACTGCACCCCGCAAAAAACATCCCCGACCAGTTTAGGGGGAAAAAGCTCTAAAAACTAAACCCAACACCCTAGACCCTAAACCCTAAGCTGCTTAGACTCCCCCTCTTGTTCTTCATCAACTGGCTCTGCTTGAGGCCGCTGGCAGTCTTCTCCTTGTGTTGGGGGGAAGGTTTGGGGTTGGGGGCTTACAGTTCCACTTAGCGATGGCCCAGCCATGAACTGTTTGATTAGGGTCAAACCCGGTAAGTTCTTGACATAATCTTCCTTGGGTTAGTTATCATTAATAGAGGGAAAATGGAGTACATGAAACATCTCTTCCCCACTGCTATGCTCCCTGTAAGTAAGGAAGACATAGAGCTTTAACAAGCAAGCGCTACCCTTGATGCCAAAAGTCCTGCATTACCTGAGGTTGCTACCGCAATTTTTTCAAGGTCTGGGGTTTAGTAGCGTTTTAGGGTATGGGAACAGCACCCTCCCCAAAAGCTTCTCCTTGCGGCCGTTGAAGACCACAGCTTTTGCCAATTTGCCCCTGCCCGCTGTTCATTTGGGGCTTAGGGTTAAAGGCTTCTCACTATTTAGTACTGGTCGCCAACAACACAGAACTACTACAAACAGTGAAAAGGAGCACTAGCAACAGCAGAAGGAGTACAGTGGTAGCAGTAGTAGAGCAACAGTAGTAGCAGAAGAAGAGGTAGTATTCGCAGCAGCAGAAGCCGTAATAGCAGTTGTAAGGGCAGCAGCAGTAGCAGTAGCAGCGGCTACGGAAGAACATGCTAATGCTGACCTGTACGAACGGAGCCAATGAAGCCATCTACATCATCCTTATAAAATGCACCACCCCCACTACTTCACATAATGCCACTAGCACCAGCACTTCATAGGCAGCCGTTTTCAGAACCCCAGCCTTGCAATCTTGGAGACAGCTTTGGCTTTCATGGCCTTCATTGACTTCATGGCCTGTGCAAGAGCGAGTTATATCGTATCGGGACACAACACTGTTCAACCTGCAACGCAGAGGTCGCAAACACTGCAAGGCAAGGTGGTCCGAGGGGAAAGGGTTAGGTTGTCAGCCTTGAAACCTTCACCTGGCACCTAAACCCTAAACCCTCAAACCCCAAACCCTAAACCCCACTGTGCCCCGGTCAAAAAGGCAGCAAATGAGGATGCTGTTGGCGAGTTCTGTATAGAAACTATAATAATATTGACCCCAAGATGAGCTGTAGTCGAAGCTCCCAGTATCCCCCTGAATAAGCCCTGGGACTCCCTTGTGTAACCCCCTTTAACGAGTTCAGACTATAGCTCATATGGTTTCTGACGAAATGATGAAATCATGTCCCTTCTTAATAAACTCTAAATATCTGTAGTGCACAGAGGACCCAAACATGGGCTATAATTTTGGTGCCTTTCGGTGATAAGGTTCAGGCTGACGCGGTCAGGGTCCAAGGAATATGGCAAATGGGGGTTTTATGGTTGAGGATGGCCCACAATCCTCAATCCTAATTAGGCTCACACACCCTCCACCGCAGAAACCTGAATCCCTAAATTCGACACCCCACGCCCACATCCCAAATCCCCCTAGACCCTCAACATCTAGTCCCCTAGACGCATAAACCACGAATCCCCAAGGCCTAATCTCCACACCCCTACCCTCTGCCAAACCAATGTGGGAACCACCTCCTTTCAAGGTCCGTGGTCTTTGCAAGCACCCGTTTGGAATTACAGATGGGAAACGCGCATAAAACTGGAATCAACAGCCCCTACGTCCCAAAACCCTATACCCTGATCCCGAAGCCCGAATCTCTAAAACCTAATCCTTAAGCCCTAAAACCCTAAACCTTAAACCCTAAACCATAGACCCGTACACATTCTATGGTGAAGCCTTGCTCTTCATCGCCACCTTTTTCATGGCAGCGCTCTTCATGGAGCGGGCCTGCACCATAGGTGCTAAAGCCTAAACTGTTTAAAGGAGGTTTTACAGGAGACTGTATAGGGTTTAGGGTTTAGGGTTTAGGGATGGGGGTTTTGGGATTAGGGTTTGGGGCTTAGTATAAGGGTTTCTAATGGGAAGACTGGGAGTTTAGACGATGGCTCATGTAGAGGGCCGCATGCGGAAATGCAAGGACTTGCGGGTGCGAAAAAAAGGTTTGCAGGGGTATATGTATATATATATATAGGCTCAATGAGGCCGTATCTGACCCTCTTCTAAACCTCTATGGCCACAGGACAACCAGGGCGATACTTCTATCAGCCCCCAAGAAAAACATTGGAAAAACTCTAAAAACCATCTGAAAACCATCCAGAAAAATCTTCAACCACTTCTAAACCTTTTGTAACAGCTACAGTTCTTTGAAGATGCCATGACTTTACTATGGCTTTGCTGCAGTCCACATATTCAAGGGGGCGGCACTCCATACACCCAAGTCCCCAACCCTTGCCCTAAACCCTAAACCTTTAATACCCGGGAAAACCCTGAGCCTTCATGGCGGTGGACTTCATGGGAAGGGCCATCGCGAAGCAGGGCACAGAGTGCAACAGGGAAAGGACGGCGCAATACAGCTGACAGCCAAGAGCTGAATCAGCCGGACCCAAGTTCAAACTTCTCGCTGCTTTTCTGGGTTAGTGTTAAGGAACTTAAGTTGAGTTACCACAAGGGGCATATATAGTAATCAATAAAGTTTGCCCAACATAACAACTTAAACCAAGTTCCTTAACAGCAAGGCAACTTGTTGTTTTTCATAAGGGGCTGGGCTGTTCAATCATTCCTCTGGTTGGTAGCAGGGAACCAGCATTCCAATCTATTGAGAGTCCTTGCTTCTTGGCACTTGCATGACAAGGCAAACTTTCAGATACTAACCGTGGGGAAGAGGTCTGACTTTGGGTCCATGGAAGACACGTCCTCCACCTTTCAAAGTACTCCACCTTCGTCCTTCCTGTAACCTATGGGAATCTTCTGCCCAATTTATTCTGACAGTCAGCTGCTCATGACCTCTGAGCTGTAAAATGGGTAAGAAACGCATCCATAAAAGAGAATTCCCACGTCGTCGCGTCAGATCGCCTGTCCGGGAAGGCCCAAAGAATTGCGAAGCTGTAGAAGCTACTTGGAGGACCACAGCTAGTTGTAGATGGTGTTTTAAAGCAGGACCGCGTTATTTGTTATCCAAAAGACGGGCTGATGGACAAAATCCTGCAAGACAAAATATAATACCATAATTCCAAAGGTTCAGGTATATGGAGTCATGCAGGAATTTGCGCATGAAGAGTATGTAGGGTACTTGAAAACCACTTGTAGCCTCCCACCCTCAAGTATTTAGGGTTTAGGTTAGGAGGAGCCCCCGCACCATGTAAGAGTGGTATAATAGGAATATATTAGAACCCTGAAATAATCCTCAGTATCCCTTATAGTCACCATTACTGGGTGGGGGTCCACCTGAGGTTTAGGGTCCTCTGAGGTCCCTGCCGGCGGAGTCCCGCTCGGCTCATCTTTACCTTCGGCGGCGCTGAAGGCGGGTTGCGGATCACGCGGTTTAGGGTTTAGGGTTTACCCTAAACCCTAAACCCAGGTTTGCATGCTAAATAGCATCCGAGTTTAGAAGTTAGGTCTATTTGGTGATAGAAAAAATTCTGTGGTAGTTATGAGGAAACAGACGCCAAATCATTTTCAAAACTGGCATAGAACAACCCAAGAAGCAATTTCTCAAAGCGGCCCTCCACATGTTCCCAGAAGAGTTACAGAGGCCATAGAAAGGACCCCTGAATCAGGATTTAAAAAATGTTGGGTTCCCTTTTCTGCGGGCCCTTCAAACCAGGAGCATAGATTGTATTGGGGAGGTACAGAGGCGGACCCCGAGTCTAGGCGATACCCAAGGATCACAGAACATGGCACGCAGCACTTTTCCAGAAGAATGGGGTATCTTTGTGGGTGCAGTTTATCTCAAACCGTCCACAGTAATACGGACCACTTGCAGACCTCTATCTGCGAAGTGCAACCAACTAGTATGTGTTTTACCTCTTTGAATGCAGAATGAACCTTAAATACTGAACACCAACATAAATGTTCAAAGGCGAGGCTTGCAATGAGTGTGAAACAGACAACAGCAATAGACAACTAAATGCAACATCTTGTTCCTTAAGGCTGCGCGGCCAGTTTTGGCACCCAAAAGCTCTACACCGTCCGCATATTATCCGTAAAGCCACGATTTCAAAAAAGAACTACATCTGGAAACTGCTTCAGGAGGCGGGTGGGGGGACAAAACCTTCAGCAATGAGTAAAAGGGACAGGTGGGTTGCCTTTTTGGGGGTCCCCATAATAAGGACTACAATATTTTGGGGTCTATATTGGGTTCCCTTATTTTGGGTTGGGTATATAGACGTCATATCGCCCCGTTGCCTTATGCTCCACCTGGGGATGCCCTTGATGAGTCATGCCCAAGCCCCAAAACCTCGAAACCTACAGCCCAAGCCTATCGACCTACATGTTTACAAAAAAAAATCTGGGCAAAGAACACCAACTGCGGGTCAACAATTAGCTGAATGGTTAAAAAAAGAAACAAGCCCTAAACCTCAACTCCCCTCACCTTACTTTCCCTGGCCTCCTATCAAGGGGTTAGACGGTTAGAACAAGCAATCCCTTGACAAATCCGCCAGGAGTATCTACAATTCTGTCATTGAAACAGATTGAAAGAAACTGAGGTTGTCAAGATCATGGCCCCTCGTTGGGTATCTTAGTGTTCTCGGCCGTCTTGTAAAGGGACCATGGAAGAGGCCACGATTGTGACAACCTGCCACATAACTGTCCTGCTCTGCGGGCATTTTAGTCGGCACCACCCTAAACCCTAAACCCCAAACCCTAAACCCCAAACCCCAGACCCCAGACCCTAAACCCTAAACCCCAAACCCGGGCTTTTGGAGTCACAGTCCCTTGATGTGCCCTACACCCTAAACCCTTCAGGCCCGAAACTTCCCGGACCTTAATTCTTACCCTCACCCAACTAACATGGAACCCCATATGAGGGTTTCCCAAAATTAGGGTCCCCTCATTTGGGGAACTTCTTACCATATACCCTCCTTTCAAAATGACAAAAGTCTACAAAGGGCGCCTTTGCAAGCTCCATGTTAG